TTAGCACTGCTCACTAGAAACTGGTAATAGTAAACAACATTCAAGTATCATTAGTAAATTTGGCAGCAATTCTTGATATAGAATACAGACAGCACTACCAACATCTTAAAAAAGGAAAAGTCTTGGTATGCACTACTACTTGATCTTTTGTAGTGTCCATATTCTATATCACAAATATGATTGTCAATGACAAAATTTTGGGCAAAATTATCAGCAAATAACAAAATATAATTGGTAGACGACATGCTATTAACAATATCAACTTACACTAACCCTGACACCAAGTTATCAACTATATTTTGAATGTAATGTTTTTGTGAACTTAGTAAGATAAGACAGATTTATTGTATATACGCCCTTTGTGGACAGAATACAAAAACCAACAGTACAATGGTTTACAATAAAACGAAACACGATATAAAAAAGAACACATTGAAGTGAAAAAATAATATAATTAGAAACATTGAAAGGATATAATTATCTAGACACAGGTTTATGGAACAACAATCCAATCAAGAAGTAATGGGCAAACTATATATACATTAATGCTTATTTTTAAGAACACACAAGAGATAAATGGTTTATTGATACATTACATTAAATTTTAACAGGTACATAATTCTTAAAATAACATACAGGCTGATTAAGTAAAATAATTGAAATAAAGTAAATGAATTCAAAAGGATTAATTGTTTTAAATAACTTACTATGGTTAAAGTTGAAAAATTTTAATAAATTGAATACATTTATAAATATGAATAATTACAAGTTGATGAATTTATCATATGCATGCGATAAACGAACACCTTCATCTCTGTTAAAGTCAGGCTGATATCTTCTGATGTTGATAGCTTCATGAAGTCTCCTGGTTCTATCCATGTGCTTATTATTTGTCAGTATGTTGGTGTTGTCAAAGTTGACTTTTTGTCCTGTTTTCTTCCCATAGCAAGATGTTCAGCCACAGCAGATGTTCCTTCATTGCCGGGCTTGTCTTGATGGTCTTTGAGTCGAACATCAAGGGGTCTCTTTGTTTCCCCTATATAAGAACTTCCACAGGAGCACTCAACTTGGTAGACACAACCCATAGGTTTTTGGTTGTTGGAGGGATTCAATTTACCATTGGCTCTGAGCAAATCTTTAAGCCGTTTCAATGCCGACTGACTTTTTCAGGATCTCCTTGATTTGGTATGATGCCTTTCCGATGAATGGGATAGCTAAGCGGGTTGATGGTCTGTTGGGATTAGGCTGTTGGTTGGTTGGTTTTGCCATTAATACTGATCGAAAAGCTTGATGTACAAAGGCTGGGAGGGTTGGTGGGGTAGTTGTTGTGCAAGCAAAATACTTTCTTGATGTGTTGTAATTCTTGTTGAAAGTATTCCGGGTCTCAAATCCTTTTCGCTCTTCTGACCGGTGCTGAGATGGCTGCCCTTTTGACATGTTGAGGGGTGTTGGAATGGTAGTTCACATACTGATCTGTATTAGTAGGTTTCCTGTACACGCATGTCTTCAACTGACCTAACCGCTTAATTCTCACATCCAGAAAGGGTATAGAGTCATCTTCTTCTGCTTCCATGGTGAAATTCATCCTCTAATGCTGAGCATTCATCTTCAGCGCTAAGCATGGCAAAGGTGTCATCAACTTTCCGGAACCAGCAGATTGGTGAGATCGGAGGTTTCCATGGTCTTTTCCTTAAAGGCTGTCATATAGATTTCAGTAATCAATGGTGACAAGGGGCTTCCCTAAGGTATACCGTGGACTTGTTCATTGACCTCATTTCCCCATGTGAAGTAGGTAGAGGAGATACACATCTGAATGAGATCGACGATGCTGTCTGTAGTAAGTGTAGTATCTAGTGGGGTCTCTAATTTAGATATCTTATTTCATATGATACTCAACACATCTTTACATGGGACATTGGTGAATAAGTCGACAACATCATATGAGTACATCTTCCTTGTGGTCTGCAGTTCTTTCAATTTGGTGACAAATTCTTCTGAGTCTTTTAATGAATGAGTTAGCTGTTTTCCCCAAAGGTGTCAAGATTCTGCTAAGATGTTGGGCGATGTTATAGAAGACAGAGCCTTGATGGGGTTTTTGTGGCATATGGTGAACGTGGGTGACGGCTTGATCTCAGTTAAAATTTAAGTTGATTGGTAATTTGGTTACTGGATTCAAGTTCGTTAAGCTCTTTATCCAACCCGTCTTTGTATATGCTCTATGGGTTTTCACGGAGTTTTCTGTAAGTTATCGCATCACTAAGTAGTTCTGTGACAGTTTTTTTGGCACTCTTTCTTATCCATGATAACTGTGGCTTTCCCCTTGTCTGCTGTTAAAATGGCGATCTTATTGTCTTGTCTGAGGTCAGTGAGTGCATCCCTTTGAACTTTGGTTAAGTTGTTAGGTTGTATCTTGTTTTTAGCGAGGATCTCTGTCACTTGGTGTCTCAGGTAGATGATATGACCGCCCGGTGCGAATTTGTGTAAGCCACGTTCTATGTTGACGATGAAGTCATCATGGTTTTTGAGTGTGGCAACGGGTGAAAACTTTAGACCTCGGGAGAGGAGGTTTATCTGCTCGTCTGTAAGATTTTTCTGGCTTAGGTTGATAACAGTTTTGGTTAGAAATTCAATTTGTTTTGGTCTGGTTTGACAAATACTCTAAATGGTTATTCTGTCTTAAGTTTTCAAATTTGGTTTGTTGTGAGCTTTTGATTTTTTGGCCAAGAAGGTTTTTGGTCTTCTCTTGTTTGGATATAATTAGATGAAAATTATTATACCTTTATATACATACAATTCAATTAGAGATCTGACAAAAGTAGAATATGTGTAAAGTAGATCAATAACAGAAACAATTAAAGATAGTTCATATTTACAGCCAAAATGTTTCAATTGCATATTTTCCAGGAATAGTAACAATACAATAAATATGACGTCCTGATATTGTCTTAGGGTGTTATGATGGAATTACACTTATGGGATGAAGAAAATAATCTAACAGATTGTAAAAAATCAAACTAAACCGTTTAATTTAGGATTTAGTTTCTCAATGAAATATTTAGAAAAGTAGGACGTAAAACTCCATTCATTTCATTTCATTTTTCTCAATGAAATATTTAGTAAGCTGTTTTGGCTGGACAGTTTGTTATTTATGGATAAAGTTTGTTGAAAAACCATAGTGGCAAATCATTTGATGATCATCCAATTGATGACAACGAAGTGGGTGATGATAATGATGTCGTAGAGATAGACGACGATGCAGCTGATGCAATTACAAGAAGTGTAACAGGAACTTTAAAGAAAAAGCCTTGGACAGAAGAATTTACAAATATATCTTTACAAAACATTTCTGTTTGCCCTACCCCTAATATTTGCGCCGAATTTGTACTTATAACGCTATTGGTGATAGCAGCCACGAGAAGGTACCCCCTTCTGGATTTGTATTCTATTATCATATCATTAATAGACGCAATATGAAAGGCGTTCATGAAGCCATGGCGGTGGCTTTCCAGAGTAGACAGAATGGATAAAAGAAAATCCTTCAGCGTCCGAAATTTTGAAAGAATACCCTAGCTAGATATATTGATACTCCCGAAATGGTAAGAATTTCTCATATTCTTGAGGTATTTCACAATACTCTTATTTATGGAATATTTAATTTTCCTAGAAAATTTAACGAGTGGTAGAATTACCAAATGTTTTAAATTTTACATTGATGAAAAACGCCATTGAATTTAATATTTTTAAAGTATTAAAGATTTTTTTGAAATTATTTACAATATTTTTTATATTAATAACCCTTGTATGTCGTCCTCATATGTGGACATTATTTAAACAACATGAATAGTTAATAGTATGAAGATAAAGAGTAAAACATAAAAAAATAAAATAAGGCATATATACAAAGAAAAATATAAACGTTCTAAATGCATTATATTTTATATTTTAAAAGGAAAGGTCACTGAAAACAATTTATAACGTTCCACTAAATAAAAGTCCACTGAAAATATGAGGTAATGGGAAAAACGTGTACTAAGGAAAGGTCACTTAAAACCATTTATAACGTTCCACTGAATAAAAGTCCACTGAAAATATGAGCTAACACAATAAAATCCATTAAAGTCCATGAAAATGTCCACACGCAACAAAACGTCAAAAGAATTCACTGAAAGTTGTTAAAAATATACACTTAAAATAATTGGTTAAGGCAACAAAGAGAGCGTCTACGATATGAGGTCGATGGTGAATTATAGAGCTATGGGTTTTCCTCATCATCGACCTCAACTTAAACTGTTTCCCTTGACGGAAACTGTGTAGGCACATATTCTTCGTTCTGCCGGTTGGATTTGGGTGTCGGTGGTTTCATCGCGAACTATTGAGTGAGGTGTACTTTTAGTCTTGGTAAGTTGGGGTGACTTCGATTGAACCTCTGTGGTCGAGCTAGAGTTTATGGAGAAATGACGTAATTATCTTCAGCGAGCAAGCCGAGTGAGGGTCGCAATCGAATTTGATCGAGTTAAGGCAATATGGGGGGACTTTTGACCATATATAGACATTCCATGCTACCATGTTAACTCGTGTTTGACTCTCCCAATAGTGAGTGTTGGAACCGAGCTGACTCGAGTCTAACCCGGACTCCAATCGAAGTCACCCTTGGTTAGCAAATATCCATAGCAAAGTTCTATGATAGTTCAGAAAACGTTAAGTAAAAAATAAATGTCTCATGTTTTATGTATAAACGTAATCGACAGTTATTGTATAATAATACAACGGTGCTAATGCAATAAACTTCACTCGATCTAGCTAAAATGGTATAGCGAATAGTCATGGTTCATTACCACTGGTAAGTCATTGACTATACAACTGATTTATTTACATGTGAATAGTCATTTTCGTAATAGAATACTTGTTTTTCTTTTCTTTTTAAACTTCCACCCCTGTATAATAAGAAAGTAATATAGATTGTATAACTTATATCAAATATATTATAATCTTAAACTAAAATGGCGATAGTTGTGTTACTGATAGGAATATTAACTCAAACAATATTAGGTATGTTATATATCTTATTATAATCATATAGTACATATAATCATATGTTGAATAATCATAATTTATTCATTATAGCTTCATTTATTCATTGTGTTAATGTATAAATACTAATAAACCGAATCTTAGAGGTCCAATGTTGAAATTACTTATCTGTTATTGGGATCGTGTATGTTCTTTCCCCTTTATTATTGATATAATCATTGAATATGGATTGTATATACGTTTATTTACTTATTACTTAAATATTCTCCTTCTATTCTAGGTCAAGTTATAATAAATACTGAACCTAATAAACTAGTTGATTGAGAATCTGGTAGTATTACCTGTTATTATAACAATGTAATAGACAGTAACTGTATAATATTCTCTTTCTATTCTAGGTCAAGTTATAATAAATACTGAACCTAATGAACTAGTTGATGGAGAATCTGGTAGTGTTACCTGTTATTATAACAATGTAATAGACAGTAACTGTATAATATTCTCTTTCTATTCTAGGTCAAGTTATAATAAATACTGAACCTAATAAACTAATTGATTGAGAATCTGGTAGTGTTACCTGTTATTATAACAATGTAATAGACAGTAACTGTATAAATATTCTCCTATTCTAGGTCACGTTATAATAAATACTGAACCTAATGAACTAGTTGATGTAGAATCAGGTAGTATTACCTGTTATTATAACAATGTAATAGACAGTAACTGTATAAATATTCTCCTATTCTAGGTCAAGTTATAATAAATACTAAACCTAATGAACTAGTTGATGGGGAATCTGGTAGTATTACCTGATATTATAACAATGTAATATACAGTAACTGTATAAATATTCTCCTATTCTAGGTCAAGTTATAATAAATACTAAACCTAATGAACTAGTTGATGGAGAATCTGGTAGCGTTACCTGTTATTATAACAATGTAATAGACAGTAACTGTATAATATTCTCTTTTCTATTCTAGGTCAAGTTATAATAAATACTGAACCTAATAAACTAATTCATGGGGAATCTGGTAGTATTACCTGTTATTATAACAATGTAATAGACAGTAACTGTATAATATTCTCTTTTCTATTCTAGGTCAAGTTATAATACATACTGAACCTAATAAACTAATTCATGGGGAATCTGGTAGTATTACCTGATATTATAACAATGTAATATACAGTAACTGTATAATATTCTCCTATTCTAGGTCAAGTTATAATAAATACTGAACCTAATAAACTAATTCATGGGGAATCTGGTAGTATTACCTGATATTATAACAATGTAATATACAGTAACTGTATAATATTCTCCTATTCTAGGTCAAGTTATAATAAATACTGAACCTAATAAACTAATTCATGGGGAATCTGGTAGTATTACCTGTTATTATAACAATGTAATAGACAGTAACTGTATAATATTCTCCTATTCTAGGTCAAGTTAAAATAAATACTGAACCTAATGAACTAGTTGATGGAGAATCTGGTAGTGTTACCTGTTATTATAACAATGTAATAGACAGTAACTGTATAATATTCTCCTTCTATTCTAGGTCAAGTTATAATAAATACTGAACCTAATGAACTAGTTGATGGAGAATCTGGTAGTGTTACCTGTTATTATAACAATGTAATAGACAGTAACTGTATAATATTCTCCTTCTATTCTAGGTCAAGTTATAATAAATACTGAACCTAATGAACTAGTTGATGGAGAATCTGGTAGTGTTACCTGTTATTATAACAATGCTTATACAATAAGTTTATCTCGATCTGGTGATGATAGTAATATAGCTAACTGTTTTGTTACTATACAAGAACAAGATTGTAATATCCTAAATCCTGGACCATCAAACAACTATACCGACTATAGAGGATTCTATACAGCATCTAAAACAACTACTAGTGTAACTATACATATTGATACAGTATCTAAACAAAGAGATGGTGGTATCTGGATATGTAGAGTGGGTGAACTTCCATCTGAATCATTTCGAATCAATAAAACTATTAATGTTAAAGGTAATTCTATGTTACTAGAGCTTCATTATTTCATCTAGTTTTAATTAAATAGACTCTTCATAAATAATTATTTATAACTAAAACAAATAAATTCGAAATGTTGTCTGCACTTGAAATAGATATTAAAGAAAAAACCGGAAAAACATATTCCAAGATGACGAGTAGGAACGATATGAGATTAATAAACAGGAAAGGAATGACTTTTGAATTGTTAATTCCTATAAATCACATATTAATAGATTTCAATTTTATTTTGATTTGTTATTTCTAGTACCAGTGAAAGGTGTCGAAATAGAAAATAAAAACAGTCTAAATCTAGTAAATGGATTGTCTACCACAATGAATTGTAAAGTCACCAATAATCCTGATCCAGTAATAAATTATAGATGGTTTATAGTAGAAACAGATCAAACATTATCAACATCATCATCTTTCCAATTGACACCAAATAAAAATCAAAATGGTCAAACTCTATCATGTTCAGCAGACAATGGATATGGTAGTAGTAAATCTGATACTGTTATTCTAGATGTTCAGTGTAAGTATTTTATAAAAATATGTAACTATAATTTAATTTTGCCGCACCATATCATAACAAAAGAAATTGATAGGTCGTAAATGAAAAAAATAATTTGAATAATATGCAAATTTAGTACAAAACATGAAAAAGAAAATATTCTGAAAATCAAGATAGTACTAACAATTTAAATTTACGCTAAAACTCTAAATATAATAGGTATAAAAATTGACCAAAATTTCACATACCATCTGAAAAAAAATCTTTGTTACAACAGATTATATTCTAGCAGGTTAATATAGACTAAGCTTAAATCATTTTGAAATCAAGCATATTGTGTATTTCTCTTATTAGATAAACCAAGTATATTTTATATTTCTGTTGTTAGATAAACCAAGTATATTCTATATTTCTTTGTTAGATAAACAAAGTATATTTTATATTACAGATAAATGAAGTGTATTTTATATTTCTATTGTTAGATAAACCAAGTGTAAAGATAGAACCTGAAGTATCTGGTAACTATAAAATAATAGAAGGTAATATAGTAGAATTAAAGTGTATTGTAACTGATGCTAATCCTAATGGTAGTTTGAGTTATAAATGGTATAAAGATACAACAACTACCCCTACAGGACAAGTTGATTCTACAGTTCAAATATCACAGAAAGGAGTATATACAT